CCCAGGCTCAATAAAGCTCCAACTCCCCAGCTGGATGTGCAGAATTCTCCCCAGTCTTGCCCAGCCCACCTCCCGGCCTCCCACCTCACCCACGAAGACCCTCAGTCAACCTCCACTGCTCACTCCAGGCTCCTTCTGGCCACCACACTTTTGCATCTGCTGTCCTGGTGCCCAAAGTACCCTTTGCCACCTCACCCAGCCAGCCCCTAACTGCCCTTCAATGCTCTGCTTCCATGTGGCTCCTCAGGGGCATCTTCCCTGCCTGACAGGTTGTTGGATGCCCCACCCCCTCCCTGACCAGATGCACTTTTAACAGCTCTGTGCACGCCAGGCTCCATGTCCTGTTGTAACTGTACTTACATGTCTGTCTCCGTCACTCCACCCACTATTTCCCCCAAACCATAAGCTTGGAATAGTGACTTGTCCCTTTCTGTATCCCCAGCACTTTGTAGGGAATAGAGCAGGTGCCAAATCATTATTAGCCAAAATCTCATGAAGATGGAGGCTCCAGAGCAAAGTACAGAGACTGTAAGACAGGCTGTGGCCAGGCCTCCGCTAATGAGCCGGCATCACGTGCAGCGTCGCATCCCAGCCATCGCCCACGGGAGATGCCTCCTGTGTGGGGCCCAGCTGAGGCCTGTGCTCCCTCCTCCACCACAGGGTACAGAGGGGCACGTGCGCTGCCCTCGTCCCCATTTCAGAGAAGCAGCATGGCCAAGCTGGCACACCCTTGTGGAGGGTTTAAGTCCAGGCTGCTGTACCCAACAGTCTCCAAGTCTATATAACTCAGGGCTCTATTCCTTATGAAACACACACACACACACACACACACACACACACACACACACACACACACACACAGTGTGATTAAAATAATATGTATTTTACAGAAATATATTCATCAAGGAATAACACAAGAAAAGCATAAACGGCACTCATGAGTTGACTTGGCTCTATTAGATGAGCTCAAATGTACAAGCCAATCTCTCCCCCAGGTGACTCTGTGGACATTCCTCTGGCTCCCTCATCCTACCACTCTTGCCTGTCCCTCTCTACTCCCACCTGGTTAGAAGGCCATGTGGTTCCAGAAAGAACCAGCTTGGGAGTCACACTGAATCTAGCTCAGATCCCAGCTCTGCATTGTCATCAGCTGTGGGATCTCACACAGTGAGTCTGCCTCTCCCAGCCTCAGTTTCCTCATCTGTGCAAGGGGCATAGCCACAGCCTCCCCAGGAGGTATGTGTGGGCTCAATGAGGCGATACATGTCAGAGGTCACCTAATGGCCCCCATGGGCCCACACCAGGGTCTATTGGACCCTCTCTGTGTTTTCAAAGTTTTGAATGTGTTGCCAACATCTACAAGGTCAGGAGCAGGTTTGCATTGTGGAGCTGATACTGGTGATGGCCCCACAACAGTGTGAAGGCACTGAATGCCCCTCGGCTGTGCACTCAGAAATGGTGAAGGTGG